GTTTGTTACCCATTCGATCTTCTGTCCTTCTAACTCGATGTTGACGTTTTCGTGCTTCTGGTTCGTGAGTGCCTCTGTTTTCTTGACATTACTTCCAGTCCGACTTTCCTTGCTAGTTTGGCCGTTAAGGACAATTGTGATTGAGCTCTTTCGAGAATTCCTTCTAATAAGGCAATGTCGTCTGCAAAGTCCAGGTCGAATATTGTTGTTACGGTTTGACGAGTCGATTGCCTGAGGTTGGTAACAAATCCATGTTCACCTTTGTTCTTACCCTCTTGTATTGTGTGTTTTAGCTCGGCATTCTTGACCACGTAATCGATGACGATGATGAAAAGGAAGGGCGCTAATGTGTCGCCTTGTAGGACGCCAGTGGTCACGTCAAATTCTTCTGACAGCTTCCCTTCCACTAATACTGCACTTCGGGAATTGTTGTATATGGTTTTGATTGCTCGAACCATTTTGCTTGGAATTCCATAGTGTCGCAGTATGTCGAACATCGCTGCTCTCTTGATCGAGTCGAATGCCTTTTTGAAGTCCACGAACGTGATGAATAAAGGTAAATTTTTATCGTTTGCGCTTTCGATTAATCTTCGAACGATGTGCACCTGGTTTGTACAGCTTCTTCCTCGTCGGAACCCGGTTTGGTTCCCTGTAAGAAACTTATCGATAGGATCTCGTATCCTGTTTAAGAGGATTTTGTTATAAACTTTGGCGGCGACCGACATTAGGCTGATACCTCTATAGTTGTTCATCAGAGTTTGATCTCCTTTCTTTGGATGGTCTTCTTTTCAAAGACGGAAGTGACTGGAATGACACCATCCCGCTGGCTCATGCTGCTCTTACCGATCATACTGTACCGAGTATTAGTTATTTCTTCGGATACTTGGCATATAATATTACCGAAGTAAAAGGGAAGTTAATTCTTCCCACTTTTTTTGTGATTGATTTTTCTCCAGCTATTCTGAACGCGACTCTTCAAGCATTCAACGAAGAAAATATCCAAACGCATCTCAGCCGTTGCTGGAATGTTCTTGGTACAAAGTACGATACTCGCCAGTTGCAATCATCATCATTCATCCACCTTTGCTGTGGCCATGTTATCCATGCTGTAACAAGGAATTTGACACCAGCAAATGTCGAAAAAGCTATTCGACAAGAACTTCTATATACTTTTGCTTTAATCTTGTGCGGCAGTGAAATCAAGGGATTATACGACCTGCTCGGTTCTCTCATCGACATATTTGCTGATCCGAACAATGAGAACGCGCAAGACGATTTTGAGCGATTGCTCGCTTAGAAACTGGATACTGATTCGAAAAGTGTTTCTAAATTGACCAACAGCGAAAACATTTTCAAAAAAGCCGAAAAAATGAATGAAAAGTTGGAACTAGTCGACGAGTATTTCCGCTCGAATGCTGCTATCATACACCAATCACCTTTCAATAAAGAAGCCATTCGTCTCTATCCGATTATTGCTACTGTCCTCAGATCGAAAAGTAAGTATAAAAAAATTCTGAACCCGCTGTTCCTTCCTAAAGTGGTTGGTATTATTTACAAATGCTGGGCATATCTGCCATTATGGACAGGTTTGTTGTGCCACTTTAAGGAGGAGTACTCGAATGATTTTGAAAAGAAAGCATTACCATTGTACACTCCTATTCGCTACTCAAACGCTCAAATAGAAAGTTACTTTAACTATATGAGAAAGATTATTTTACAGAAAAAAACTCGTGTCTCACCAAAAATATTAATCGAAGAGCTATACGATGCTATTGAGCAACAGTTTAAAGCTGGTAAATATGGTGTGACGCAGAGTTCAAAGGGTAGAAAGAGAAAAAAAAGTAAATTAAATGTGGAGGAGAAGTGGAGCAAGAAAAGTAACATTCGAAAACCGCGCAGTAAATATTTCAAAATCATCGATTTAATTGCATCAAAACGTGCTCGACCAAAGATAACAAAAGAGAAATCAAACGCGCCTACGACGAAACACAAGTACAGTCTTTTTTTATTTCTCTTCTGGCGGAATCTTTAATTGCGTATCTAGTCAATCAAACGAGAGCGCAATAGCTCTCACATCAGATGAATCCATGTCGTCTTTCAAGCATACAGATGATAATATCTCTCTCAAGTAAAAGAAAACAACTTGTTATTTGATATAAAACAAAAACGGATAATTGTAGTCAATCCTATTTGCGGACGATACAAATTGTTCATCATCTTCAATTGAAAATAATTCAACGGTAAGTAGCAAAAATTCTGTTGACAGTTCAATAAGTTTAGGTAAACCGACGAATGATGACGATATATCAAGCAACATATCTATTGAATTCGATCTTCCAAAAAATGTCGCTTCTACTTCACAAAAGGGCACTCTATCACGCCCAATCAACAGTGCATATCGACAGATGTGTTCAATTTTAATTAGCATAGAAAGTTTTCTCTTGTTTGTAGAGTCAAGTACGTCAAAACGTTCGCCATTAAATATACAATCTTCACAACTATCGTCTCAACCGGAAATAACTATCGATGGCCACACACTACGATGGCCAAAATTTCAAATTCACAATACCACTTTTGAAGGTGCATTAACGCAGATAACTAAAAAATAAAATTCTATTGTCTAATTGAATTTTTTTAAATCAAAGGTCAATCGTATTCAGTTGGTGATACGTGTAACGTTGACTCTGGCTTATTTGTTCTTTATTTTTTGTACCGAACCGATCCGGATATCGCAGACGATATCCTCAATGCGCGAGAGACATCACCTTACGCGATACTTCGGAAGATGTTTGACTTAGTTGATACAGAAGGATGGGATGCTGCACGTATTTTCTGGTTGCTCATGCATAATCGTTTAAAAACTCCGATCGAAAGACAAAGAGTATATTTGGCTCAATGGATGAAAACGTTTTTCGCTTCATCAAATACCAACAACGTTACTCGAGCACGATCATGTGCTCACGGTCTGATTGTAAACAGAAAAAACGTGTCATTATCACCACTGAACTGTGCACTGCGTAAGTGATCAAACAACAATCATCAATCATTTACAGAGATTGCATTGTAGAACCTGTGATGAAAGTATTGAAAAACTTGAAGTTGAAACCATCGCAGATTGCACAGTGATGATGAAACGCCTTGAAGAACTTGATCCGACAGATGATTATCAAGGTATGAAGCAAGGTCGAGTGGCTGTCCTCAATCTGGAGACAAACAAGGATGAATATGTGTATGTATTCTTTTCCCTCTTCCGTTGAATCATTGCTGCTTATTATAGTGAAGGAATGCTATGCAATGCGGAAACCTTGCTTTACCTGCGGAATTTGAGTTTAGTCATCCTCCGTTGATTATCGTTGATATTGTGACCCCTGAGGAAGAAGACAAATATGGTAGATATAAAGCAAATGATGTTCGAATACGTGACGTGAAACGTGTTCTCCGTGTTGGCAGCGTGAAGTACGTTTGAAAAACCTGATGTTATTCAAGTTTTAAGTTTATTTGTTCATTATAATAACCAGGTACAAGCTTCGTGCCGTCATCAATTACAAGAATTCCCATTTCACTGCTACCCTAATTGGCGAAAACGATCAACTCTACTTTTATGACGATCGAAACGGTGTTGACCGACTGACAAGCCTGGCCACTATGTACATAAACAAAGATATTGATGTAAGTGTTGACGAAGTACTCGACGAATTTTCGAAATCAAATCGAAAATTAGAATTTTCTCTATAAGCATTTGTGATAATTGTGCACAGGTGGTGTATGAGATCTTATTTGTTGTGAAAAATGCATATTATGAAATAAATATTATCGTTTTCGTCGAAAAAAACGATAGTAAAATAAGTATTTGCTTATATTCGTATTTCTTTCACAGAATGATGACTAACTAGAATTTCGCGGGTACCTTCAAAAAATCCTGGATCCGTCCCTGACTATTGCATAGGGGAGGATTTCCAATGGAATATCATTCTATTGAAATAAACAAATTGAACCAATGCAAATGTTTGATCTAATCGATCGAACAATGTTCGAATGTGAAATGATTTCATTTGGAGATTTGATTTAGACGAGTCAAACCATCTTGAGGGTGAAGAAAAGACAAACCCACCCACACCTTCAAATTTAGTCGCTGTATTCAAAGCAAATACTATTGTATATTATGGACTATATGGCTTATCAGTTGGCAAACATATGTTTTTTTTCTCTCTGCGAGCGATACGTTCGCATTGCTCCCCTTCCAATTCTTCGTGTCATACAATGCCATACACTCGAGGTCTGTCTACGTCTTTCTTTACCATTCATTCCCCAGACTGAAAGGATAGGGTTTGTCAGACGGTATTTCTGTCTGGCTGTAACACATTTTAAAAACCAAAGTGAGTCTGTCTGTTGATCGAGAGTCAAGACTTTTATTACGTAGATGAAGAAGAATCTCTTTCTCTCTTTCTCTCTTGATTGATCACTTTCGCGCCTTTGGGTTTTCATGCTCTTCTGAGTATCGAATCTTGTGAATAATTCATGTTCTTTGTCTCTCTGTCTGCCTTGAATTGAAGCTTTGATCTGTTTCTTGGTTGATCATCGATTTGATTTCAATGGGTGAAAAGTTCTTCGGTTCTGTCTGTATATATCTCTAGCGGCGTATTTACGCAGCGTATACCGTACAAAGAAATTTCCCTGGTCTTGTAAAAAGGTTGGATATTGAGAATTCAAATCCTCTGTCGATCTCGAAAGAAAAAATATCCATACTAATGAAGGTTTAATTGAAGTTTCCAATCTTGAGATGAGTGAATCAGAAGCCGATGAAGGTTACCTGTAAATAAAAACGAATACAAATTATTCAGAACACCTTAGATTGAATTTGCGGTTACTCAAGGTGTATGTGCCATTTTAGACAGAAAGTAACTGGTTACTCACCTAAGATAGCTAATGTGCACGCATAACCATTTAACTTGGATGTGATGCTGAGTTTTTGAATTTCACAATATCAAAAATTGAACACATAAAAATAATTAGTGTCTAGAGAAGGCCAAAAGCATTCTACAGAGTGAGTCCCACCACAATCCAGTGTCTGGTTACGCCACTAATCGACTGGTATATGACTCACTGATTCTAGAAATAAACACACTTCGAAAATGAACAGCAGGTAAGTTTATCAAGAAAAATATTTTCGGTAACACTAATATTTTTTTAACGTTTTCGTTTTTATTCATTTCACGTCTTTTTTATTCTGATTGATTATTCCAGACAGCATCCGAGATTGTTTCTGTGTATTTTCCGATAAGAGGTCGAGTTAAGGTTTAAAAAGGAATGACATTAATCAAAATAAAAATATTTAAAACTACCTACGTACATTTATTTCTAGAATTAGTCGGTCATAGATTGGACGAAGTATCTGGGAAAGACAGATGTTAGACACTTACTTGATTGGTATAGAATGAGCAAAAAGAAAAGAATCAGGCGTATGCGTGTCTAAAAAACGATTATCCGTGAAATGCCTGTTTTGGCCTAAAATTTTCGCTTACCCCCTCCCCCAAATTTTTCGCTCCCGGACATCAAAAAATCGCTCTACGGCTCAAAAAATTGTTTACCCCCAATGTTTGGACCCTACTTGCGCCCCTGAAGTGCGAACACACAAGCAAGCAAGCAGACAATTTATGTTTGCTTGACTCTTCTTTACGAGAAAGAGAATTTACTTAGCACTTAAATAGGAGTCGTTGTTTTTCGCTTAATAATATTAAAACAATCTATTGATTGCTAAAATTCTATCGAATAATGTAAAAATAAACATTTTGATATTTGTTTGCTCATTCAGCTTTATTGCGCGTACCGATTGTTCTTTTGCCTTCTACTATATAAACTATTCGTATTTATTAAAGGCTTCTTACAGTAACATTTCTTATCACCTAAAACACTTGTTTATTTTGTAATCATGACTGAAATTTTGTGGTTGTGTAGAAAGGGAAAGATATGTCTCACTTTGTACTCAAAGAATTTATTTATTCGTCATTCTTACATCGCAAGAAACTCACATCTATAAAGATCCTCCGTTTTCTCTATCTTTTCGTTTTTTTTCTATAGATTTAAAAACAAAAGAACTCATGGATACTGTTAAAGACGCTGTTAATACACTTCTTGGTCGAAAACCTACTGGACCTAAAGTTCGATATGGTATTGTAGCCGCTGGATGGATTACCCAAGCCGCATTTATACCAGGTGTTGGGCAAACATCTAATTCCAGTATGATAAATCTTTCAGTATTTTTTTACGCAAGAAAATCAATTTCTTTTTTCTCATTTTTAGTAATAACTGTATTAGTTAGTGATGATGCAGAAAAACGTGATAAGTTAGGCAAAGAATATAATTTAAAACCATATACATATGATCAATTTTCACAAGCACTTGAAGATGGACATTGTGATGCATTTTATATTGCTACACCAAATAATCAACATCGAAAATTTGCTGTTCCAGCTCTTGAAAAAGGTTTCCATCGTTTATATACTTATCGTTTATTGAATTAATGATTTATTCTAGGTTATCATGTATTACTTGAGAAACCAATGGAAGTTACAGAAGAAGATTGTGAAGCTATTTTAGCTGCTCAAAAGAAAAGTGGTGCAAAATTAATGATTGCATATCGTCTTCATCATGAACCAGGAACACTTGATGTTATTGATCGTGTTCGAAAAGGAGATTTTGGTGATCCTCGAATTTTTTCATCAATTTTCACTCAAGATATGAAACCTGAAAATCATCGTGCTAAACATGGTAATTCATTTTCTCAAACATGATATGCAATAAAAACATTGAAATTTTGACATTATTTACAAGTGTTGTTTCATATTTAGGTTTTGACACTGGTCCAATTCCAGATCTGGGTCCGTATCCAATAAATGCTGTTCGAAATATATTTGGTTTAGAACCAAATGAAGTAACTGCTATTGGATTTAAGACTCCAGGACGTGAATTTTTACAAATGGAACATGATACAATTAGTGTTACACTTCGATTTCCTGGTGATAGAATGGCTCAATTTGTTGTTGGTTATGCTTCTAGACCCAGTGAAGGCTATAAAATTGTAGGCACTGGAGGTACGTTATCTCAATAATCTAAAGTTTTGAAATTAAGAAAAGACTAGGTACTATAATTAAACTTGTCACTTTAGGTGAAATTGAAGTAAATCCTTCGTATGGATTCGGTAGTGGTGTAAAAATTGCTTATAAAACGAAAATCAGTGGTAAAGAAGATTCAAAAACGTTTCCTGAAACAGATCATTTTGGTGGTGAAACGGAATATTTTTCTGAATGTATTCTAAACAATGTTGATCCAGAAACTGATGGTGAAGATGGTTTATTAGATGTGCGAGTAATTGTTGCTATCAAGGAATCACTGAAAGCAAATGGAAAAACAATTAAACTTGAACCACATGAACGGAAGAAACGACCAACATTAGATCAAGCAAAAACGTTATCATTAGGGAAAGCACCAAAAGCTCTTATTGGTCGCGATTCACAAAAACCTACAATTGCTTAAATTGTAATCTATGACAATAGAATTTGTTTTGACAGAAAAATATTTCCTGGTGCTTGTTTATTATAATACTAACTTTTAAAACGGCAAGAAAAGGAATAAGTATAGCCATGATTAGTTTAGTCGACTGGCACGTGTGTGTCAAGGAAAACCATGTCATTTATGACAGTTTCAACAGTTTTAGTGGAAAACTAACGATTTTGGAAGCCATTTTAAGCCGCTGCCTGGATATTTCTGCCATACTTAAAAAATAGTTACCACAAAGTTAACTAACTGATAGTTACCGTTATTTCAACGGTAACTGAAAAGACAGTTAGCGTTAAAACAACGGTAACAATATTTTCAGTTAGTGTTAAATCAACGCAACGGGAACTTTACAGTCGTAGTTAGTAGATTGCAGGTTTTTCTTAAGAGTAGTCGAATAGGAAAGTAACATATATAAAATATGTATCATAGCGCATGCATACAATAAACTCACGAACTAATAATTGGAAGAAGTATAAATCATCACAATGATCATCAGCCGTACTTTTCTGCTGCATTTTCTATTTTAAAAATGAAGGTTTGAAAACGAAATTCGAACACACTGAGACAACAGAGAGGCATTCTTTTGTTTTCCTTCATTCGCAACGGCGTCGACCAAAAACTGTTTTAAAATATTAAAAGTAACTCTTTAACACAAAAGTAGTTTATTTGGAACTTTCTGTTCGTAAAGCGATGTTGACGAACTATAAACTCATAGTAGAAAAGTTACAACTTTATAATAAAGGCATTGAGTCAAATCAATAGCAGCCCATAGTATTGAATTGATCATCATCCTTGTTATATTTTCATTTTCATTCCAATCAAATTTTCGTGAATAATGTGCAGGATGTGCTGGTTGCACGATACGTCCAACATCCTCGTCAGCACGTGCAATAACACCAGCAGAAGCACTTAAGTCGCCTAAATCAATTAAGCTTATCACTTTAATTTTACCAAATGGGAATGCAGCCAACCAACTATAGAACGTTGAATGATATGTCGTAAACGAAGTGGAAAATCGGGTGGTCCGTTATTGTTATATTAAATGTTAGTACATGGAAGAGTTGAGCAAAAATACATTCACCTAAGAGGCTGGTCCGGCATTACGTAAGCACATTTTTGGCTGTTTTAAACCCTTTCCCCCGTCCTTGTCATCATTTTGAGAAAATTTTAATTTACTGGCACATTTAATTCGTCTCTACCAGGCACTAAAGTGACAACATCAAAATCAGGTGCATTCGGTTTTCCTACATACGTTGAAATACCATCAGAAATACAGATCACTGCGATATCGATACGTTTCAAACGATCGATCAAGATTTGAACAGATTAGATGATAAAAGGTATAGGGTGTTAAAAAACCTTTACGCCCCCCCTTAGCGACATAATGAATCAATGATATAATCAACTATTTTATACCAGATTAAAGCCCGTCAAAAACTGCGTCTAAGGGCCTAATTGAAATAAACAATAGATAGACAATTATCAAAATATTT